TGCAGTCTAATCACGACGCTTTCGATTATATTCTATCGTTGCTAACTCCATCAATTTACATCCATACAGTATCATAATATATCCTATCTCGTCGAAATGGTAAGGAACATTGGATTCTCACCGTTTCTCGAAATACTATCTGAGACTTTAAGCGAAAAGTTCTTTAATCGCCATTCCGTCATAGGGATTTCTTCATAGGAAAACAAAATTTGTTATTTATACCCGGAAACAATTCATTTAAAATTGTTTTAAACCGATCTAACATAGAATTTAGATGTTTTTTTCTTTTTTTTTTTAGCACCTAACATGCTCATATCGTGTCATATACATTGATGGTCCCGTGCCAGAGTGCGTAGTCAAAGTGTTACTACCGTCAACAATTTCGGGAATATTCAAATGGGTCGATTTAAATCGGCCCCCCTGTGTATCGCAAACTCTCCTGTTTCATAGTCAAAACGATTATTTAATTTCAGCGATCCATTCCGCAAACCTCGAGCCTGTTCCGATCGCAAAACGAAAGAAAGTCTTTCAAATCCGGATAACCGTTTCTGCCCCATCATTCTCCAGACTCGCCCATCCAAAGCCTCGAAATCCCGAGCGCATAATATCGAGCGGTACGTGTGCAGCTAAGATCTCGTCAAACAATCTCTCCTCTTCGAAGCTTGCGGAACCGCCCGTTCGCTCTGGATTCACGAAACGTTCCGCCCGCTAAACACCCGTCGCATTTCCCTCGCATTATTCCCGAGCACTTTGCGAGCCATTAGCCGGGCCGCGCTTCAATTCGCGCCTTCGGGGCCGCCTCCGCTCGCAAAATTCAGTTAAACCGCCGACAGTTTCTGGACAATCAGCCTGGACCCGTTCATTCGGAATGCGAACGGGGCCGCTTGCCTCCACACAACCCATCCCACCACCCACTTTTCAGACCGCGTCGGGACACGCGCGTGCACACATTGGGATGGCAGAAAAGGGGAATAGAGGTTGAAAAGAGGACGTGTGCACTGTACGCGCATACACACACACACATGCACACAAGTGTCCGTGAAATCTCGTTTACGAGAAGCTAAAGGGAGGACTCCTCTCCGCGACATCCGAGGAGGAGAGGGCGATAGAGCCGGCCAAAAGCAATTTCGCTTAAACCCCACTCGTCGTTCGTCTCTCTCGCTCTCACCCCACACGTTCCAACAGCCCCGTCACCCGTGGTCCTTTCGCTCCTCTTTTCCCTGCCCAACCCTCCATCCTCATGGTTCCGTGTCCTCTGACCGAGCTGCTTTCGGTTCTCCTGGGTCCGGATAACGTCGACGGTGCTCCGCCCGTGGAGAAGAGAATGCAACGACGGGACCGATAAGGAGATTGAATTCTATGCCCGCGTAATGATCGCAATAACGGGAAACAGTCCAAAGGGGTATGGGGTGAGATAAGGCCGTTGGTAAACGACCGTGGAAATTTCGTGGGCGAAATAGCGCGTACCAGGTGTTAGAGGCTGACGACGGGACAAAGTGAAACGAATGGAAATCGAAACGTTGCAGAAGGATTGAGGATGGCGACTTTTTGACTTGTTACGGGGAGAATACGAGCGAACGTTAGAGTCTCCAAAGCACACACGTTCGGAGATCGGTATATTAAATCGCGATACCACAGATGTAGAGGTGGTAGTGGGAGAAAAAGACGCACTGATAACGCGAGTCACGTTCGTAATAGAGGCTCGAGTATCAACGATAATACTATCAACATATATGGGTAGGAAAGCCGACTAACAACGTGTTGACTACCACAGTGGAAAAAGCCGTGCGTAGCCAGACTCGTTTTACTTCGTTTTTATGTCATAAATCGTCGAAAATGTACAAGCGTTTAGTTTAAAAACAGTCTTGTTTTAAATTATACTGCGATATTAATTTTACGAAAAATTATGTAACGCTGTTTAAATAATCCAGCCCTCTTTAAAGTATACTGCGATATTAATTTTACGGAAAAATTTTGCAACGATATTTAAATAATACAGCACTCTGTGCAATGTAGACATAGTAATTTTTGCATTTTAACACTCTGACCGCCACGCCACCAAATATATCTCGCCCATATTTTGGTGGCGTGGCAGTCAAAGTGTTGAAGTGTGTTTAAAAAAAGAAAGCGGGACATGTTCGACTGACAAATATTAACTTATATATCGATGTCATGTCCCGCGATATTACGCGGATAAAAAAAAATCCGAAGAGTCGTATGATTGATACTTTACAAACGGCCCAGTTCCACTTCCGCCGGTAATTACGCCCCGGTAATTCGTGCTCGCCCGAACGGAGAATTAAACGAATACAGTCAACTGGATTTCGATCAAGTTCCCCAGCTCGCTGTATTATTTTCGCCGTCGTTCTATACGTTTTTAATCCCCCCCCCCCGTCCACCCAATGTGTCCGCCTCATTCTCAGGCTCATTACCGAATATCGCGCGCGAGACACACAGTTTAATGTGAATTTTCCGTCGCGCTGGTGCAACACCGATTTTCACGCTCCAAACGCCAAGCATTTCAGTGCGGGCCGATTCGTTGAAATTGATCCTGAATAGTATTTCAACGGGATTTATTATCGGGCAGAAATAAACGAGTAAGAGCAATCCCCCGGTGAATTAAGCGGGGAAAATTAGCCACGATGAATAACCGCGAGGAACCAACCGTGGTCGACGCGACAGTTTCTCGAAAGCAGCTTCTGAACACGATATCTGGCCATTGACCGTTCGACGCGATTAATAACCGCTAAACTCCGGCTATTAACCGCGCCGTTTCGAGAACACGCGGTGTTTGCGATGCAATTGCAATTACCTACCACGTGAGGGCACGAGTGATTTCGTTCGTTATCCGTATTAGTTATGTGCGTTATTGCTGTGATATTGGGGCGTAATTCGTTCCGTATTGTAGAGCAAGTTTAAGTTCAGCCTCAAAAGTGGAAGTTGTTCGGCTAACGGGACGACGAAAAATTTTTTCCGACAATCAACTGCCATCGCGACGCCGCCCGCACGAAGAGGTTTAAGAAGCAATTAGCAGTGATAACGCTGTAATAAACGGAGGGGTCCCGAGAGCGCTACATACGAATGACGTGGAATTAATTAAAATGTATGCTGGGCCACCGACGCTAATGGAACAATAAAGACCGCTCCCTTAACGATCATCCCCTGTTACCGCGCGTAGCTAGAACCGTCAAATGAATCAGTTAGACGTTTACCACGGTTGCTCTCTCTCTCTCTCTCTCACCCGTTTACGCGGAAAATTTATTTAACCGTTTAACTACATTATTCGACGACGTGTTCACTCCCCTCTCCCTGTTTCTCCTACCAGGTTGGAATTCCCGTCCGGTAATTTAACGCCATTGATTATGCGAATACGCGAGGAGCCGGGGAAATCGTGCGAGCTTCGTCGAAGCCTGAAATCCGACCATATTAATTTCACGTGTTCTAATAAAAATAATAATATATTCTTCTATTGTGAAGTCTTTAATATCGTTTAAACACTCCTCGAGAGACACAGGTTTCTTCGATCGTGGAACACGAATCGTTTCAAAATTCGTGTTCCACGATCGAAGAAACCTGTTCAATTTCACGGGTCTCGGTGACATTCCACCGTTACCTCTGCTTATCAGTCACGGGGAGAGGAGTGGCGAGAGTTCTGGTAACATCAAACGGCCCTTGGTTTGCCGCTTCTCCGCGTCTTTTACACCGTGCACGGCCTCTGATGATTCGTCTTTGACGAATCACCCTCCGTCAGCTCGTAACGCTCCGATGTGACCTACTGCCTTTGGAACCGCGCTACGTACGTACGTGCAACCCCTCGTCGACACAGGGAAGCTGGGGGAAGCAGGGAAGAGGCTAACCTCAAAAGAGGTGCTTCAGGGGACTGCCTTTCCGTAGCCATTCCTACAATTCGTTTCCAGACACCTGCCTCTCCGTTGCCTTTCCCTTCCCCTAGATTCTACCTCCTCGTCCCTCTTGCATCCGGTCTCATCCCGCGTCCCTGTGTTCCACCCTTGACTTTCTCTTCACGACCGTCGCCCTTCCGGTCTGACTCTCCATCTTGATGTCGAGTTTCGACAATTTTTTAGCAAACCCTCATTGTCTGAATTCCACGGAACTTTCTACTTCTCCTTTCTTATTTTACAGTATATATAATGTTTCTTGCACTCTCCCGCTGACGGACTTTTATTTATAACAGTGACTTTGCGAAACACATCGTGTTGAAATAGTTGGTGTGTACAATATCGTTCGGAGCAGCAGAGAAGAAGAATTAATGTGTTCGTTTACGTTGGGACAGAGGATTTAACAATTCGAGCTACGAGGGAACAGGAATTATTCTCCGGATCCGATTAATGTGACGGTTATTCGGTCAACCTAAATCGCATAACCCAGTCGTCGGGAGACACGTGTCGCCAACAAGCTGTCCAACGTTTTTGCCAACCCCCGTCGGGATTTTCGAGAATATTTTTTTTTTCGGTCGCAGTTTTCACGACAGTTCGCGCACCGCGTTAAAACCACCCCTTTTTCTGCCCGTCAGTCGTCCCGAGGGGAAAATGGGAAGCTACGGGAGCAGTTGAATTCGTTTCTCCAGTATTCGTGTAATTCTCCGCGGCAGAATGTTGATTCGAGCTCGCGGTAAAAAACTGTCAGCCCTCGGGGGAACCGGCGTAAACTCGTGCGGTTACAATTTTAACGAACACGTCGGGGAAAAGCTGCTCCCACACCCCCGCGAGCCCGACCTCGGGCGGGAAGTTCTCGAATTAAAAGACCCGTTCCCTCCGAATGAAATTCGCCGCTAGGATCTCTTATCCAACGCGACCGTTCAAGAAATAGATACTGAAATAAGGATAAAACTGAGGCACTCCCACCATCCTCCTAAAGAAATCCCTCGAAAGGCTAAAGTGCCTCTAAAAAGCTAATGATCGTGAACCGTCGTGTTTAAACTCCTCTCTCTGAAATTCCACTCTCGAATTCTTCTCGCCAATAAAACATTCAGGGCTCACCTCTTTCGTTGACGTCTACCCCAGACGTTCTTCCTCTCGATGAGCTTCTTCTTTGCTCAACGCACCCGCGCGACTAGAATGCAGGAATGATTTTATAACTTCCTCATTCGTGATTCGCGAAACTGACGATACAACACTCGTAATTAACCAGGAAGAATATCGTGATATCGTGGACCTCGGTTATGCGATCGAACATCAAATATCCGAATTACCGTTCGATCCGCTGGTCTGATGGTCCCCGACGATACAGGAAGTGGTACCCGATGGTAACATTTTGTTTCGATTGCAGTTCGAATCGCGCTCGCGTAACGACAGCAATCGGCCATGGCGAAACGGTAGGGCGTGAACATCACCTGAAACGAATCAGCGTTCCCGTGTCTATCAGACGAACAATTAACCGATAACGTCTTTCGATCGACGCCCATTGTTCGGTGAGGATCGAGCGATGGTAAGCTTAACGAGGCACTTCGATCGGCGGAACAGAAACAGAACAATAAAAAGAAATGTAACCCGAATGAATCTTGGATACGCGAGTCTAACAGGTAATTGGAACGCTACACGCGACACGACGGTAGAAATTCTTCGAGGCTAATTAGAATAATCACCAGACACCAGCGTTCCACGCGATGAAAATGAAGTCGCAACGGAACAATGCAACATGCTGCGAACACCCGTGGGCGATCTCGTCGTTCACGAAGCTGCTGGAACTCCGCGTTACGAGCTCCGTTTTGCTAATAGTTCCATTCGAATTACACAATATTTAATGCCTCCGGATCGTTCCTGAACTAAGTTCTCCGTTCTGAACGTTATCGCGCGGGAACACTGGCCGCTGGTTACCGTTGCAAGCAGATAAACCGAAAATCGCCCCACCTTCCTCAGGTACAGGGTTCCAATTAGTATTATCCGTCTCCCGTAAACAGTGAAACCACCGTCGAAATACGACATCCCGTGTTTCCGACTTCTAGCGAAAAATCTTCGAAAGAATTCTAGGAAGAAGACAATAGACGTTCATCCTGCGCACGCTTGTTCTCTTCCGTTTTATTTTTCGTCCTCGACCCTCCCAAGCTATAGAAGCCGGACGAGCACCGCGACGATTCCACCCTTTTCATTTCCACCAGGCTGTACATAACGACGCGCGCCTGCACAACAACATTTCAGGCGAAATATCATGTTATTATGCATCCTCCGTCGCGTATCTCGCGGTACTCGGGTTCTGCTCGCCTTGGAATTCTCGGTTTTAGTCAAACGGAATCTGACGGAGAGGATTTGCTTTCACGTTGACATTTTTCAATTCGATAGTACGGTGGTGCCCGTTTAGTGTTTCGCGTTTCTTGCCCAGTTAGTATAGTCGTAGGACATCCCCATTACTTTCATCGACTGTAGATCCTCGCGACATCAATATCGGTCGCAATACCAAATATACTAAATCATCGATATGTGTTCGAAAACTCGGCACGGAACATTAAATTTTTCATAAACTAATAGCCATATACGGCTGAAACAGACATCATTAACTTCATAATTCGAAGTTCTATACGCTAAACCTCATCAAAAAGTCAGTATTACTCCTGGGGACCTATCATGTCAGTGGTCCCTTCGAACGCTAATCGATTATTTACCGTAAGCTTTCTTCCTATCCCACTCTATCTTCCGACCCATTCAGAGACGATGGAACTGGAGAAAGAAGATTGATCCCAAATTCCTAGAACTCCACCTTCCTCGACAATGTTCCCGATAAGATCCTAGACCCCCGATCATTCGAGTGCAGTCAGACTGTAGTTGTAATCCTGAACCTCACCAGGGTATCTATTCATCGTTGCAAGATGAGGCACATCCGTCAATGAACTGCAGGAATAAACGAGGCTGGTGCAACCGTGGGGGATGGGTTCGTGAAGTTCGGTTTCGAGAGACGGACAGAACCGTGCTTAGTCAAGCCCAGGAGAGACAGCACGAGACGTAGGTCCGCGGCGATTCTGACGTGGGGATCGATTGTCGGGGCCTGGTTACAGAACTTGGAAGACTAACGAGAAACCCACCTGACCGGAAGACTAATGGACCGACGGGGCGGGTAAGTCGGTGCTCAGCAGCGGTGTAGATTCCAACAAATCGACCATTCCCGATATCTACTTACCGAACATCCGAGTCCGCGCATCTGGGGAGACGTGCAGGTCTACGAATGGCACGCGATTCGTCGGGATTCACCGGGACTGCGAGAATTTTTCACCCAGGCCAGGATTAATAACGTCTCAGATTACACCGCGGTTGACGGCCAGCTCTCTGCGGGAGGACCTAGACACCCCACCTTCCTGCTGTTCCTCTGTATTTTAATGCGCCCGGTAATTTAATTTCCCCGAGCTGGTGGTTCAAAGCCCGGTGACTTTGAAATAAGGGAGCTCGAGTGACGGGAAATCGATGGTTCGAACCGCGGCATAATTGATACGACGCACAGGTAGACCGAAGGGAAGGGAGTCAGTTTCTTCTTCTCATTGGGAGATTACAGAGATGGGCTCGTCCGATCCGATTCAGACCGTTTTCATTCAAATCGAGCTCATGTGGAGGGGAACAGGCCGATCTGCTCGCGACGTTATCTCGATCGGGAAAAAGTTTCGGAAGCTCCCTGGAAGAGATTATTTTCTTCGGGCTGACTTTAGCCAGGCTCGAGGGTTAGCCTCCATTGGTAAAGAAATTAAGATCTTTGAAGTTTTGTGCGGGTAAACGGCGAAGTTGCGTACTCTTCGCATCTATAGTTAATACAGCTAATGGCAAGGTGGAATTTATCCCGAGTCCGTTCTAAGAAATATTGAATGAATTTTCCTTCGAAACAGACCGTAAACCTAAGAGAATAATCTCAATTTTGCGACGAACCAGCGCGATAATTATTGAGGCTATATAACTCCAGGATTTAATTACACCAGATAATTCGATCTTCCTCTTCGATATACAGAAGAGTGGAACAACGATTAGATCCGTGTTCCGGAAGCAACGACATGGGACCCGGCAGTGACATTAATCAGAAACAATTCGTTTAGAGCCCCGATAAAGTCGAACCACCCCCCGGTGTTCTAATCAAGCCCGGAACAAGCCAGCAGCCTTTGCTCGCTACGTTCCTCCGGCGGCGACCCCTGGCGCTAACGAGTTTATCGGGAAACACGTAAGGCGGTCGATCTAATTAATTAAGCGGAACAATTTTCCACGGATATAAGGAGGGGGACAAGGACCACAATGTGTATATACACACGCGTCCAGACGATGTCACTTGGCCTCTTAGGAAAGCTAGCGAGCAGGGCCTATACCATGTACACACGCGCCTGCCACAGGTCGATAAATTATTCAGGAGCAGGATGAGCCGCCGACAGGCGTCGTAAGCTAATTAACCTCGTTATCGCATGTGCACAACGGACTGAGGAGTCCGTTGATCGGACGTGCCCTTCTGTATCCTCCGATTTGATCGTCCGCTCGGCGGACCTCCTCTCTGATCTTGGTCGAGACTATTTGGCGCTGGGAGAAATCTCTGATATGTATACAGGGTGTTAAAGAAACAATTTAATATTCTATGATATATAGGGTACACTGTACTGAATAAAAAAGTCTTAGGTCACCTTCAATTTTCTTTCAAACATTCAATTAAAAAAAAGGTAACACATGTTATGTTGTGAGATTTACCGAATTCGTCTTGAAATCATCTAACAGATAGGCATAAAAAAATTAAAAGTGTATTTGCAAAAAATTACAAACCATGCTATACCCGATAAAAACATTTTCGAACGGACTGCTGATAACGGAGTAATCTCTACTGATCACGATTCGTGGTTCACCCTGTAAACATTTTTGTATGTTAGCATCATGCTTGACTTCTATAGTTGTTTATCATCTATTTACACAGTTACAAAGTATCGTGCTAGAAATGTCAGTGTATTACTCTAATAAAAAAAATAAATAAGAATTCATTTTCTATAGAAATGTAAAGAGAATATATGGAACACCTGTAAATATCGAAAAGCCAGTAGTAAGTCATACATTTACCAAGCCTCTTTTACTCGGTACAGTGAATCCTAAGTGCTATATAAATATTGAATGGTTTTGTTAACACCCTGTATAATGTATACGTATATACATATATGTCCGTATTATCCTGCATTTGATCAAAGAAAAACGTCATCATCCTCGAAGAAGCCCATGTTCTCCTTGGACAGTTCTACTGTGAATGGAACAGGTTCCCTTCGTTTGAACAAGGATATTGTCTGATCGGTACGCGTGCGCACGTGAGTCTCTAATTAAATTCGTTACCGAATTTACACGCGAGCCGACGTGACCGTTCACCCAAGTTCGACGACCCTGTGGCCAACACGCCGACGGAATATTTCGACGGTAAGTGAACTAATTGTCGGCGATTCGAGGGATATATAGGCGGGGAGGAGGGGTAGGAGGAGGAACGGAACGGGCGTGGAACAGTAATAGGATTCGCAGCTGACGACGTTAATAGAAGGATTTCGAGTGGACCTTCCTCACCGGTGTGGACTAATTAACCTCGTTATTTCGGCCGTTCTGACAAGGACGCCGCCGATGCCTGACGCCGACGCCATCGGCGACGATAACACCGGCGGACAGTGTCGAGCTAATGGAAGACACCTACACCGTTTATAAGCTCGACCGGGCGATAATCGACGTTGAATGAGTCCCAATGACTGACCGTGAGCGTTAATGATCCCCCTGGTATTCGTGACCGCGAGCAAACCATTCTATTCAACAGTGAAATCTGATCGACGAAAGGCAGTTTAATCGCGGTACCGAATTTCGCGTTTCACCCGACCGATTGTTTTCGCGTTCGACGAAAACACGTATACACTGGTATCATTTCACGTAAACCTGAGCTGGAACTTCAACCCTTTCAACCTACAGATAAATCCCCAGGTGTAACGTTGACTCTTCAATGAGCTTCAACACAGTGATAGAGCTTGGAATTCTGAAGCTAATGATATTTGCTTTAGCCGCATATGGTCATTATGAAATATTTAATGTTCACTGCCGAGGAGCGTTCGAACACTTATAAATGATTTACTG